GCGTCAGGCCCCGCCTCTGCGTCAGGCCCCGCCTCTGCGTCAGGCCCCGCCTCTGCGTCAGGCCCCGCCTCTGCGTCAGGCCCCGCCTCTGCGTCAGGCCCCGTGTGCCCAGTGCAGAAGGTGCTTCCCGGCCATGGCCGACTGCAGAATAACAGCCGGGGATTCTCGGGCCCGGCATTTAGGTTTGTGTTCCACTCCTTCCTGCTCCTAGGCCTTCTTACAGTTTGTGATCTGGCTTGTTGGGTGGGACCTGTAGCCTCTTGGGGCCGAGATCGTGGGGGGAGCAGCTGCTGACCCGGTGGTGTCCCTCAGCCACCACGGGTTTCTCTTCCCATCGCTGTAAACCGCAAGAGTAAGTCTTGTTGTTGTTGTTAACAGAAGTTTCTTGGATAATAGCTTTCTAGCCAGTAGTTACAAAGGATTTTATCATGGGATGTGTGCACACGTATTTCCCCCCTGGAGGGAAGGCAATCTGCTTTGGGTAACTGTGCCGTGTCCTGGCCGGTCACGCGGGGGTGGCGCGAGGTCGCCATGCAGGGGTCCTGTAGCTGCTGTGTGCGCGGACGGCCACGCCCAGGGTCTTCTCGATGAAGACCGCCTCTCTTTGGTCCGTGTCTGGCACTGCGGCTTTTAGCGGGGCACAGTCCTTCCGCGTCGGTGAGCGGCATCCTGGTGGCCCCGGGCACGGTCGAGCCCCGTATGAAGCTCTGGAGCTCGCGCTCCGGGCTGACGGTGTGGGCACCCTTGAGGTGCTGCAGGGCTGGGTTTCACGGCGCGTGTTTGTTACGGCACAGCGAGCCCCCGTGAGGTCTGAAGCCGTGGGCAGAGCGCCCTGGGCCCGTATTTCCGGGTTTCCTCTGAGGAGTAGGTCTCCCTTGGCGAGATCAAAGGCGATGTCCTTGCTTGGTGAGCACTCACTGCCTCCACGAAGCTCAGGCAGTATGTGCGCCAGGCCGCAGGAAAAGCCAGCCTGTCTCTGGGGTTTTCTTTAGGGTACCGATGAATGTCAGATTTAAGTTTAACTTGTCATTCCTAAGACATTTCAGTTAGATTTTCTTCTAAATAAGAGAATTAAGAATGTGCAGGAGCGGTGGAGGTGCTCCTCGTCCCCGCCCATCCCGACCTCCCTGCGTCCCTGCAGTGACCTGCCGTGTGCCCTCCTCGCACACGTGCACACGCACGGCTGTTGGTGTGACCTGAGGCTGGGAGCTGTGCCAGTTGCTCTCTTAGGGTGCATGTGATCAAGGTGCACTTATAATGTTTGTGACTGGTAGGGTTTCTGGAACCAGCACCCCTCATGGGGGCCAGATGCTCTGTAGGAGGGGCGTGGAGGGAGGGGAGAACTGGGCCCTCAGCTGTCCCTACCATAGTGTGTGTGGAGTGTGTGTGAGAGTGCGTGTCAGGGGAGACATCTCCTTCACACCTGCACACTCACGGCATGAAGATGTTCCGAGTGCATCTTCATAGAAATATTCTTTCTGTAGTTAGGGTTTTCTTTTCTTCTAAAACATTGCATCCCTGATAAGATTTTGCGGAGAACATTCTAGAGAGACATTCTCTAGAGAAGTGTCACTGTCAGTTTTGCAGATATTTTTGTTTTCAGTTCATTAATTTCTACTCTGTTTCTTTTAATTTCTTTGGGTGTTTACTTTTTCTAGCCACTTGAGTGAAATACCTTTTTTTTTTTTTTTTTTCCCACTGCCAGGAACCAAACTCATGACCTTGCGCTTGCCAGGCGGGCGCTTTGCCGCTGAGCTAAATTACCACCCGCCCCCCGTGAAATACCTTATTTACTTCTAGTCTTTGTCTTTTTAAATGCAGGTATACTTTAGACTGTACATCTCCTTTTTAGCATGTTTTATCCTTGAATCTTAAATTCCTTGAATATTAACTTGATGAGACTTTCTTTGTGGCCTAGTTTGTGATCAGTCTTTATTTGTTTGGTTTTGTTGTTGTTGTTTCTGGAACTCTTGGTAATCCTCCTGCTACCATCCACTGGGTTCCTCCTCCCCCGCCCCGCCCTGAGATTATGGGCATGCAGCTTCACCTACCCCTGGGTTTTTTATTTGGTAAACATCTCAAAGCCTTTTGCTAAGCAGGCCTTAGTCATATTTCGAGTCTGACACTCATGGCATGCTTATTAACTTCCACGTGTGTAGGCCAACACGCACATGTGAATGAGAATACTCATTGTTTCTCTTTTGTCCTATTTATAATTTCAAATAGTAGGTGATTTTTCTGCTGGACACATAAACTACCTTGCCCTTTGTCTTGGAACGAATTTTTTTTAAAGGGAGCGGCTTTTCAGTGCTAAGGAAATACATATTTGTAATCCGGGCACCTCTCCAGCTGACTTTGAAGTTACTTTGGAAGCAAAGCCGTTCCTTACTGCACGGCTGGACTTGAACACTACGTTATAGGATAAGTATGTGCATCAGATGCTGTGAGCATTTTCCTCATTATCCCAACTTACGTGCTCTTTTCAAAAGGAAATATAAACTTTGTTAATGCTAAAATATTAGCTTCTGCCAGCATTTTTTCCTCTTAATTCAGGTTTATGAAGAAGTTTTTGAAAAACAAGCAAAAAAGCATTTTTATTACAATGTTTATTGTGCTGTAAAAATTCTTGCTTTCTAAAGCTTCGCAGACAGAGATGTGGTAGACGGGACCAGCCGTTTCCAGGCTGTTCAGGTCTCTTGTCCTGGTTTTCCAGTCTCCGCTTACTTTATCATCTCTGTTTCTCTTTGTTTTATATCTGTTCTAATTGAATGTAAATGCCAGGTTCTTTTTCTTTTCATTTAAATAAGCTATTCTGAAGCAGGCTGTTGGAGTCGAGTGCTTGTTTCTGGAGATTTCTTTCTCTTTTGGCTCATGTAAAGCTTCTGTGATTTTCTCTCTTCTTTGTGCCTGAGTTGTGGGAAGGCTGCGCTGTCCTGGGCGGGCCCCACCTGGTCCTGTGCTGTGGGACCTAGCTAACTGTCTGTGTGAAAGCAGCTCTATTTTACTTTGATCTGATAGAGCTGGAAATTCTTACTTTGGTCACTAGGTGGTGAAATTTCATCACAAACGATTTCACTCTCAGAAGAATGCTGTTCAGAATCTCCCCGAGAGTCTACCTGACAAAAGTATTTCATTTAGTGTATTAGATTTGTTTTTTCCTAGGAATATTATTTCCAGTAGAATTTCTCTGAAAGAAATAAAAGGGGACTGATGGTGTTTCTTCATTGGGAAGATTGCAGTAGCTACCTGGAAAACCGTTGAAATTGATTTTAATCAGGAAGGGTTAAGGAGAGTTTCTTTTTTGGGTGGGGGGAGTAAAGTGATAGTTTTGTATTCTCCAGTCACACTTCTTGAGCAGTATCTTCCATTATGCAGGCTGGGGATTTAAAGTTTTGGATCTAAAATTAAATGTCACTATCGCATTATCTTGAGAAAATTGAGACACCAAGAATGTCACTTAAAGTGTTCATGGACACACTCCATGGGCATGCTGTCGGCAGCACACAGGAGGGTCAGAGGCCACTGAGAGCATGTCTGTAAACTGTATGAAGATAATCGTGAGGAGATAGGCTTCTTTCTTTAGAGTTCACGATGGGACAGGAGAACAGGTTACTTCACTCGACTCGGAGGTTTGTCCTCAAGGCTGAGGGACCCTCAGTGGCCTTGCGTGGGGTTCTGTAGCATCTTGGGGGGGGGCGGTGTGTCCTGCAGGGTTGGGGATTCTGTCCCAGTGGTTTGAAGAGATTTTAGAAGGTCCCTTGTGGATTGTGAAACTGTTACAAAGTTAGAAATTGGGCTAAAAGGAGTGGTGTGGAGAAGCTGCGGCTGAGAAGGGGGCCTGTGCCAGGGCACATTTGGCCTCCATGCCGCAGGGGTCATGACCTTGACTGTGACCTTGCCAGGTTCTTGGACTGCTGCCTCCTGGAGCCCCCTCCCTGGTTTCACCCGGCTACCGGACCTGGCTGCCGAGATCACTGAGTCCTTGACCCTCGGCCCAGGCCCCATTTCGATCTCTGCCCTGGACCGTGCCCTGCTGGCATCTGTGGGGAGGTGGCGTTTGGTGAGGACTGGCGGGACCCCGAAGCCCATGTGCGTTTGGCCTCAGCATAGGCAGAGCGGTCACTGCGGCCTGTGCTCCTGCTCCCCGCGGTCCTGTCCTTCCTAGTGTCCCATTTGTGCTCCCGGCCCGCAGGAGTCGCTGCTTTCTCCTTCAGCTCCCACCTGGCAGTCACCGCGGCGGTCTGCATCTGCTCCTGGGGGCAGGGGCTGGGACCCCGGCTGAGCCCAGGTGGCCCAGGGGCTGTGAAAGGAGGGAAAGTGAAACTTCTGTGTTCAGATGCCGTGATTCCCTGTCTATGGCCACGGCGCATGTATCATTTTTCATATTGAAATATTATCAGGATTTTTCTGATTAAAATTTCCAATGGTTCTTTCTGGGCCAACCCCCAGCCAAGATGTGACCCCCTTAGAGTCATAAAACCTCCCAACGATGTTCAGGTCGTCCCCAGGGGAGGGGACTGACACACTCAGTGAGAGGCTCGTATTTTGTCAAGCCTTACTCTACGTTAACCTAAAATTTTGGGAAATATCGTTAAATCTCTTAAAGGAAAAAGAACAAATCTTTTA